CTAATCAGAGACAAATCGCACAGGCACACAGGCGGGCACACAGACGCTGATCTGCCAAGAGTGGGAGGTGGCAATGGAAATACCGTCATCTCAGGACCAAGTCTGGCCTCACCAGAGAAATGCCTGTCTCTCCACCTTCTATGGGAATACCATTTTTTTTAACATCAGATTTGTAGAATTTACCTACATGTGTGCATAGGGAGAAATGCGTAGTTTAAATGCTCATATTAGAAAAGCAGAGATCTACATTTTCACTATCTGTTTGTGGCTGCTCTCTCCAGATTCCTAAAACTGCTCCCTCCTCTTGCCACTTCAACCCGTAAGGACTGGTTTTGTTTAACTGACACTTTCTTGAGAAGTTTCTTTATATCATGTTTCACCCATCAGATTGCAATGAGAGTTAAGAAGCCTAATATTAATATTCATTGTGTGATGCTAACAGGAAAAGGGCTGTCTCATGTCTGATAGGTAAAGTATAAACTAATAAAGATTTATAGATGTTATGTATATATTATATCCATAACATTGGATGCCAGACATTCCATCTGGCTGGGAAGTTTTTGCTAAGAAATACCCTCATAAATGCATTTTTCGTTCCAACGGCGGCCTTATCCTAGAGAACAGGAGTCAGTTGCGTGGCCCCCACGACTCAAGATGGGAGGGGTCAGTTCTGTGGTTCATCTCTCGTCCACATCGCCCCATGTGGTCAGGCTGGACCAGGAGTCCAGCAGGGCCACATCCATTCTTAGTCTTTTCCTTTTCATCTTAACCTGCTTTTCTCAAAAAACGATGGGCACAGGGAACCCCAATCTAGGATTTACTTTTAAGAAAGTCAACCTAAGACTACATGTTACCTCATTTAATCCTAAACCAATCCTGAAATATGTACATTAGTACAGCCTAAAATCAAATGTCTCATTAACAACATGAAGAGACTCAAGCCAGCACCACAAACCAGGCTCTTCCCAGTGTGTCCTGTCGCCAGAAGGCGCACGAGAAAAGTGGAACTAGAATTTTAGTATCTTGATTCCAGCAAAAGTTCATTCTCTTTCTCACTGCCTTTCAAATATCTTTTCTATGATTTGTAAATATTTTTGTAGTCGTAAGTCTGTAGAATGAGAATCTGAGGCAAATTCTGGTTAGATTGCATCCTTTTAGTCGGTGACTAAGTGAGAAAAACTGAATAAAAACCTTCATCCCTCATTTCCAAGCTTTCCCACTCTTTGGATGACATGAACAATGTCAAGTCTAACAGACCATAATTTCAGCTTTACCATGAATGTGACATTTAGTTTCTTTGCCTGTAATTCAATTTTATACCTATTATAAGGCCATAATTCCATCAGGCCACAAACTTTTTCCTGGACTTAGAGTTACCATATTAAAGTATTTGGTCACATATAAAAGCATCATAAAA